CTTCATTTTACAGATTTTGCACCTACTGGTATCCTGGCAAGCATATTATTTAAAATCACAGAGCGGTGTCATGACCTTTGGGGAGAAGTGGAACATTCAAGTTACGGTCCGAGGGACAGAAAGCAGTACCGTATGTTGGCCATCATTTTATTGCTTTTCCTCGAGACATGAGTGGCTACGATGCAACTTGGAACTCATTTTCCTCGGCATCAAAGCCGATTTCGCATTACTCAAATTGGATGGTTGGGCTTACAAGCGAGTTCAGTATACACCCCCTTTTTTTCCGGCATTGATCGAAGCCTACATCATGAAATTAACTCTTTCTCCCTCGTTTCCCTCACTGATATGTCCAGATCGAGGTCACTTCATTTGTTTGGAAATAATTTTTTTTGCTCAGCACCCCTTTAAATAAATGTAAACAAGTATGAAGAATAATATTAAATTCGGTAACAACATCGTAATCAAGATAGTAATAAAAACGGATTAGTTTCATTCACTTGTTTGTTGTTAAACGTAATAATTTCATCAAATTCACTGCCAAAGCTTCAAGTCGTTGAGATGCCTCAGTTTTGCCGATTTCGCAAAACATTTTTCATTTCTCTACGGAATCTCTTCCAGAGAACGAACACTTAGCGGTCAGTCTGCCCTCGCCCCCTTGGAATGAAACGGCGGCGGTAAAGTGATATTTCGTTGAAATTTGTCTAAAAACTTGATACACAGTACATTTTTCATTTGTCGACTGGTACACAGAAGAAAAAGAAAATATGTAATTTGTGGTCGTTTGCGCAATGCGTTTGTCTACTTTCGTCTATTTACTTGTTCGTCAAGCGGTCACGCACGATTGCGGGGTACGGTGTCGAGACTTCTTATTCGAGTCATTGGTCCCATGTTAATGACGTGTTCCTAGATGACGTCTCACCGTCATGTGCCTGTATTCGTTGAATTCTGTTCCTTGAACTCCTTATTCTTGTAATTGTCTCAATGGGTGGCCGTATGCTATTCATGGGACGTCTAATTGATTTAGTAAATGAGCCTAGAAATCCTTAACCCTCCAAAAAACGATTGGGCAACTTAGGGCGCTATAGCAACATGTGGGGACATGGAGCGGGCAGGAACTTCGGGGAAAATGTAAATCGCTCACACACGCTAGAATTTCTTTATTTTCCGCCTAAGACCTAGCCCTGCTTTTAATTGGAGAATTTTTTACGTGGTTCTAGATGCATTGCTCCCACATTGGTCCCGTATCATGCAATTGCGCCAAACTTAGGCAGGATTTCCTAAGCTGTTGCAAATTCTTTCGATATCACATGAGTACTCGCTGTGCTATAATGTGGCTAACAACAAGGTGAGGTCGATCTGTCAGAGAGCATGGAACACAGCGAACGTGACAACCGCTCTTCCAGACCGCTCGAAATTGATCTACAAAACTGACGTTTCTTTGCAGTTTCACCTATGCAGCTCCCACATTTGCACCCGAAGAATGCTGGACGACTTTTCTTCTTTCTTATATTAGGGGTACTTGCGTTACAGTAGAGCCGTTCTTGAGAGGTTTGAAAGCTGGAACATTTAAATGCAACAGAAGACGTCGGCTCTTTTCAAAACTTCCTAGGATAAGGCATAGATTCACAAGCATGCAGCTTTGATCGGAAAGCACCAGAAGCCTTGAAAATCGCTTGAAAAACTCTTTTTAAACAAGAATCCAGGATTTTCTTTGCGTGTGTTGCCAAGGGGTACTAAGACTGCCTGAACAGTATCGTTTCAATGAGTCCGTTCATATACACCCAGGTTGATCCAAGTTCACTGTAGTTGCAATTCTGAATAGTATCTAAAATTTGAACTTGTTTGAATATTTTTTTACCTTTTATTTTTTTTAGTATCTTATTTAGAGGTTTTTAGGTATATTTTCTACTTATCCGTTGGACGAAAACCTGGTTATTAGACACAATCTTGTGGTTCAGCCGTGCAATATTTAAAGCGCGATTTTCGTTGAAGCTAACTGCCTCAAAAGACGTTATCAAAAAATGTTTTCTCGCTCGAAAAACGCGGCGTGAACAAAAAAAATAACTGTTTGTTCGCCTTGACACTTTCTTCATGCTCACAAAAAATCCCCCGCTCAACTTCAACACGTAGCGTGTTCGCCACTTACAAATGTCTGGTGTAAAAAATTCCCTGACAACCTGTTCGTCTTTACTACCTTATCAGTTCTTTGTGGTGCTCATGTAGTGCATTGCCTACAAGCGTTCCACTGAACTTGCATTTAGTGCAAGATCGATCCCAAACTGATCAATCCAAGCACTTCCTTCTTGCCTCTGGCTTCATGGTTCCAAGCAGTATCACTCGAACTCGTCACGCTTTTGAACGATAAACACTTCCTTCTTCAAGAACTCGTTTCAAATTATCATTGCTCTCTGGAAGCAAATTGATAATTAGTAAAAATGATATGACACCTGCTTGTTACCGTAATCCAATTAATCTTTCTACGAATGAGTGCGACTAGCACAGCGCTGTTTCTCATAGAATTCTACAGTAGGCTGTTATTTCTTTTTTCATTTAGTTATTTATTTATTTGTTACACATTTATGTACGTGTGCAATGCTAATTGGCATTAAACAGTGGTACAATTCTTGAGAATAGAACATCAACTCTGTGGGTCAATTAGACAGCCCTCGAACTGAAGAGAAGCTTCCCCAAGGAAGGAATCTGAAAATTGAGATATCTACAAAATACTGAGGCAAGAAGGATTCTTAGACGCCATCAAAGTTGCAGCTCAACAGAAGGATTTCCAGTCCTCGTTAGCCAGTACAGTAGCCGGTGTAGATGTGAAGGCGGATGTAGTAGTCTTGAAGATATTAATAATAAAAATAAATCAAAAACAGTAATTTGGACTTGTTTTTGTTTGTTAATTGCCGTTTTTGGACCGCAGTCCGCTGGCAAGCTATGGTAAATATACCATGAAAACTGAGCTGGTATGAATTGGTGCCCCGTTAGCAGAACTTGTACGTATTGCGGGGAGGCGGAGGTGCGGGTTTCGAATACCATCTGGGGCGAAAGTTTTTTTCAGAACCCAGAATTCTTGTGAAGAAGCGGTAAATTTGCCAATGCTTTCAGAATTTCAATTTTGCCCTTATCACCCTAGAGGCATGAGTGATGCGCCGAAGCAATGATAGACATACCTTAAGACAGAACCCTAGCATTGTAATGGTAGTAGTCCTGCCAGGTAAGCAAGAGGGTCCAGATTCGACTTCCGGCTAATACAACATGTTTTGCCCATGGTTTTTCACCTTTGTGATAAGTTTCGCCTCCGCGGGTAAGAATAGCACTCACCAACACAGGGCTAATTAAGAGCGGTCATTAGAATGTTGCACCCAAAGGTGGCTGCTTGCACCCATTGCGTGCGCCAGTGCGAGATTTGTATCACTCGGCTGTTGTTCCCGCCCATCTACGCCCATCCTCCCACCCCCTATCCGTACACCACGGGTGCCGTTGCATCCAGTGCTTGTCTACAGCGTCTCAACGAACGGTTCGAAGTTTCGACCAGGTTTGCTTTCAATATTTTCCTCATTAATAAATACTATAGGATAATTTGACGATAGGGTAACCATTGCTGGGTAGATTTTTTCTGCTGTAGACTCTTTGGGATCTATTAGTAGAGAAGCGTCCCTTTTGAATAAAATCCCAGTACCTGCCCATCTGATTCTTATTGGTTCATCAGTAGAGCTCTTACTGGTGAGTGACATCGATAAGGACCATCTCGGTATCCATCCTAAGACCTCTCAGTACCTAGAACTGCCATTAACTTTAGACTAACCGCCTTTTCACTTTCTACTTGTCCATTGTTTGCTATTGCTGAATTTGCTGAGCCATGTCTTGAGAGATATACGCTTGAAATACTCCTTCCCCCGTCGATGAATTCTAGTCCGATTCTTAAGCCTTTATAGAATTAGTGCTTCCAATAGAGCTATAAATAGAGCGGTTAAGGTGAGAGTAGATGCCAGAATGGTTGAGAAATGTGAGTAAAGGAGAAAAAGGACGTTTCTGGTTTCGAGTTGTACAAATGTGCCATGACAGCTGTTTTTCTTCTTCTTTAAACTAAAAGCTAGTTCGGTACATGAATCTCGATGAGTAAAGGTTCATTTCTTCTCTCGATAAAGGTACAAAGCTTGTTAGGTAAGGGTTGCAGCAGGAGAGTACAGTGACCGTAGGTAATTGCTGTGGCTATGTCCTCTTTAATCACTTTGGGGGTCACAGCGCCGTGTAGCTTTGGCCACCTTCTATCCCTCTCTTGGTATAGAACTGAGTTGAAATTAATCGACAAGGTTTGCTGGAGTTCAAATTGTACCGAGATTCAAATTGTACTGTACATTCCCAGAGCCCATTTGTGGCAGCAACCCGTCAAAGGGAGAGCTCCCTACAGTATACTGGAAAATTGTTATCCGGATTACTGTCTTCGTAACTACCAAATTGATCTGAGGGGCGCATCAGCCCAAAGTTTGAGCCTTTGAACTTCAAGAAAGGCATTAGGAGATTACGAAGCATTACTCTATCAGAATTGCCCTCTTTTTATTCCAATATTCTCCTTCCTTTCTTCATTTTACCCCAAAAGCTGCTCAAAATCTTAGCAAAGGTCACAGCTGAACTAGTTACGCTTCCAATCTCCACTTTCTTTTGAACTTTTGCAAAGAATTAACTCCGGATCCGTGTTTCACGGCCACCGTAATTACTCCCATTCGCCGTTTTCTTTCTAACCAGTGAAAAACCTCTTTCGTCTCCTTTGAACAATTCCACGCTCATAATATCTGCCCTTGTGAGGTTTTTCTTCCTCTCCAGTCGTTCCGAGAGAACATTCAATGAGGTCGTCGACAGTCTATCGGCATTGCACTTGTATTAGAATTTTGTTCACGGTTTTCGTCATTTCACCGTATCCTGTTCCATTTCGCGTGAAATTCGATTAGCCTTAAGGTCTTGTAGATAAATTTCGTTTTTCAATGTTATCGTTTCAGAAATGAGACCGCTCGAGCGGTTCTTCTATGCCTATGGCGACTTCCTTGCCCGTCATCCTTGGCCTTTTGTGGTGAGTTTTTCTTTCCACACACGAAAACTAATAAATATTATTTTAAAGTGGCCTTTTGAAGAAGAGTTTTCGCAAAAAATCCCCTTCTTTGAGCGGAGTGTGATTCCCGAACATTCCGGTCGTCTGAACCAGTTTCCTAGCGAGAAATTGCTCAAACTTTGTAAACAGTTACGAGATCGTATCTCAGTACAAACATTAGCATAATGTCTCATTTGGGCAGGGGGGGGTGACATGGCCGAAATCGAGGCAAGGAATCCTTTTTTGAAAACTTTTGTGGTATAGGACATCATCAAATGGCTACCGTGCGATATTTTCAGATCGTACCAGCCCTGCTCACCATCATCTCATCTTATGGAATGCTATCATTCCATTCACAGGACGACATATGGGACATGTACGCGCCGTTGGATGGCTTAGCGCGTCTCGAAGAACAAGCGCTGAAGCCGTTCGAGTACGCCTCTGGATCGCACCACTACAGGGTAAATAGCTAAATGAGTATGTTATGTAGGCTAGGAGAACTTTGGAGCCTCTCGAACTGCGATTCTAGCCTGATACGTGCACGATTTTTGAAACATTAAGACATCGAACACCGGAGAGGGGGGGGGCACGTGAGTTGCCGTGCGAATTCTTTCGTAGACTACTCGCTTGTCGATGAATTCATCAACCTCCACCACAGCAATTTAAATTTGATAAGGGAATAAAAATAGCCAATAACAGAGAGATTTGAGGGTCTGAAATTGATAAGAACATTTTGCAAAGGTCAAGGACATGAAGACAACGCGTTGAAGTACCGTAGCGCAGGTCTTATCAGGACGCCTTCAAGAGAGAACGAGATTTTGGGTCATTCTGCGAAAACGCAGTTGATAGGGGAGAGGAGGGCGCGAAGGGGTTCTCGATAGAACTTGAGGGTTTCGACTATTTTGAATTCGAAAAATCGTTTGGACCCGCTGCTTCACGTATCCCCTGGGGCGTGCAAGGAACTCAGTACCGTAAGGAGCAATGTTCCTGAGTATAACGACCTGTCTGGCGTGACCGTGACCAATAAAAGGTTTCACTACCTCACTCAAAACGTAGGAACAGTTGGGCAGAATCCGAGAACTTTCCAAAAAAGTGTCAGGATGAAGTCTAGGAGACGCCCAGAGCGGGGTCGACAATCATTTTATTTATTTCATGTAGGGAAGGAAACGGGGTCCAGCTTAAGCCCGCCCCTTCTCTCCTAAAGATTGCCTCTCACACCCACAATCCAGCTTCGGGCACTCCTTCAGTGGTCTTATCTTAGCTCTCCTACTTCCTCCTCGTTTCAGTCTTCGTAAAGCGCCTGAGAGTGGAGGAAGAGGGTGGGGAAATGGTCCTGTCAACTCTGGCTCGAGGGCTTTTTTACCACTACCTGGCAGGAGCAGAGAGAAATCTTTGACCATACCATATGGATTAGCGTCATGGATCTTGAAACAGTCCATCGACGTTTGCGGTTTTCCGCGGCAATTGTGGCGTAACCCGACAGGTAGCTTCAACAAACCGCCGCCGATGGCGGTGGCGACAGCGCCAACTTTCACTGAGTCTAAGCGGCGAGCGCCGGGATACGCGAAACAAGTTTGACACGAAGCGATGTTTCTATGGTTCTCTGGTTCCCTGTGTAGATTCTATGGCTATCGACTGGTTTCAGATGCAAATATTGGTCACACGAAAAGATGGCGGAAACATATTGACCATGGATGGCCTTGATGAGATCTATGAAGTGCAAAAGGTGAGTCAAAGGTTTTGAGGCATTTGGCACGATTCCACTTGACTTTTCAAGATTAAAATATTATAATGTCTCGGAACTTCAGTACATCTCCGAGAACGTGACCGCCTCGGATGGTATCCAGGAACTTCACTACAGCGACATGTGCGGCGTTTATTGCGACGACAGCAACGCTGCCGTTATCGCGGTCTTACAGGTGGGTGTCCCATAAGTTGCGCATGGGACTGCGTTAACTAGGATTCTGGAACTGTTCTTAATATTGGCTGTTCAGACTGCAATCTCCTCTGATGATGATGGACTATCTTCTGTGAGACTGACCTACCCAAATGCGGAAGCTTTCCAGGTCAGTATCATCCTTAGAAAACCGTAGCAAAAGGGGGTGGAAGTGCAAGGGCGTAGACATCCCTCTCGTGCCTTGACGGTG